ATGTTGAAATTAGAAAGTAAAAACAAAAAAAAAATGTTTTAAAAATATAAAAATTTGCTTGATGCTACTGAACCTCGAACCAATGCTGCAATGGTTTTTAATAGTTAGAATGATCTGAGTTCTCACCATATGGCTACAGAACTCACCCTGCGGAGGTCACCGCATTTCTAGTTTCACAGGTTGAGAATGAAAATTGCTGCCCAAAACTAAGCATTCTATATCTTTGGTAACAAAAAAACGTTCGCAAAGTAAACATTGTACTTATGATATATCACAATCATTATCCATTGGTGTACCTAGGGGCGCATGCCCCCAACAAAAATCTCATGCTTCATGATGTCACCACTAGAAGGCCGGAAATGGCACTCTCAGATTCTCAGACTCTTTTTTTCTCCAATTTTTACAATTTTGAAAAATGTTAGGGATGTCTGGGCCGGCTGGCCCCCCCTCCCCCTTTCAACCTTGATGCCCCCACTGACGGTTATTACTGCAATAAACCTAAATGTTAAAGTGAATAGGCAACAAGCACAGATAGTAATTACAGTCATGGCTTTTAAACATGCAAAAGCCAATGCAGTGCATGTGATTCTATAAAAGAAGATATTCAAGTGTTGAGTTTCAATGTTGACAATTCAGAAATTACAAAACGGAAAAGCGATTGTGTATTATGTTTCATCAGGAATGAATTACTATCAGGCTATGTTAATATTGATCACATAATGATGAAATTGTTGCCAAGGTTAAATAGTGACTTATTCTCTACCTTTTTAATGGCCGTGTGCAATGCAGTAATTTCCGTCAAACTCGCCAATGATTCAGCATAATCAAAATTTCATTTTCATTTCACTTTATGTCATGTACCAACAGCAAATCATTGCCAGACTGGGATAAAATTATATAGCTACTTTTTACATATATTATAAACAATGATGAATAAAATTTGTAACCCCTTTAAGACAACAAAATATCATCATGTAGTTTGTATTCTTGTATCGTGTCTTCGTGTCGCAATTGTGTCTAGTGTAAATGGGGCTTTAGTCTGCTATAGAACAATATAAGAAATGACAAATCTCAACACTTTAAATACTAACTATATTTAATTAATATTAGTTATTCTTTAAATGCTCTGATTTACTATTTCTTATATAATAAACTATAAAATATCCAACATTTAACCAAGAGAAAATAGGCTTAAAATTTAAGTATAATTGTCTGTAATTTTGAAAAACTACTATAAAAAAATATTTCAATATTGTCTGTTGAAGTAAGAGAAATATATTGTACCCGAAAGCTAGAAGAATCTTTATTTACAAACAGCTCCTCTACAGTAGTATAGGGGACATTTAAAACAGGACAAGAATGCAAACTTGGGGAATTAACATGAAGTAATCACAACTAAAATTCATGAATGAACACATTAAAGAAACAACATTTCATATGTAAAATAATAAACTTTTTGGAGGTTAGGAAGTTAAAGGACATGAATAACCAAAACAAAATCCTACAAAAAATGAATCATATCAATACGTTAACAAAGGCTTAGAAGCCGAACTAAAGACTAGTGGAGTACTTGGGAGTCTTGAAATGAGGCTTAGTGATTAAGTGAGAGGGTGCCAGCTCATGAAAGATGGTGATATGAGGTGATTTTTATCTATTTAAACTTAAAAAATCTTTGCATAATATTATATCATTATTAGGCCTAAAAAAATAAATTGTTTGTTTGCCCTTCATTTTTTTAAATGATAAAAAGGGGCGGGTGGAGAAAGTTTTTTTTTTCTTTTAAGATACTCATTAGATGGAATGTAAATAACACACAGAGGCCTAGAATGGCAATATCTTACATCAGACAACAACTTTAGACTAATCTGTAGGGCATCTGGCGAAAAATAGAGATAAATTCACTCACATTTTTTTTTATTGTAACGAAAAAAGCAAAAAAAAAAAACTTTTTTAAAGTTTTTTTTATTTTCCGCCCCTATTTTTTTCAGTGAGTTAGGGGCGGGTAGAGGAGGGCAAACAAACAATTTTTTTTGGCTTTATTATAACAGTTAAAAAAAAATATAGTGATTACTTCAGAATAAATTATAGAAATAATCACTCTACAGATTAATTCCTCTCAGCTTAAACACATTTTGTCATTTTAAAACTAATATGTATACTACTGATATTATCACATAATGAAACCAAACTATTCAAATAAAAATTGATTATACCATATACCTTGTCATAGTGTATGAATGAAAATAAAGATGATTGATTGATCTGCTAGTAAAACATCTATTATGTGCACCATGAGCCCTTGTATGTTTGTGATGTAATTACTGGATGCGCTGTCATTAGAAGGACTATGACAGGACAGTCGCATTGATAATACCAATTTGATGCTTCTGAAGCAGCACAAGGTAGAGAAACTTGGGTTGAAATGTGATTGTGATTGAAGACTTTTTTTTTTCCATCAAGTTTTTCATTAATTTATCACGACATCCTTATTCTATTTTTTATAAACAGCACATTTTCAGCTTGCTTGCTTGCGCTACAGTATATAAGAATGAACTAGTATTATTATTATTATTATTATTATTATTATTATTATTATTATTGTGTAGTCCTAGGACTTTCAACTAGTGCCTGATTTATTGTTTTTTCCGTCCTAGTGTTAGATAATATCAGAGAGCGCCACCAATGTCTGTTTATTTCGAGAAACTGGTTATGTTGTTGAAATTGGATTGGAATTAGACCCAGAAAAATTATAGTATGGAACATTATTGGTACGAAGAAGTAGTATAGAATGCCATTGGTGCCAAAATCGATTCATTTTCAATAGTTTTCACTAATTAATACCCTATAAAGACTAGCATTGCATTGCGATTGGTTGTAGCAGTTGTGAGACCCGATCGCACCCAATCATAATTCACAATCGTATGTGAAATCTCAGGAATAGTCGATAAGTAATCGGTATCGCAATTGTTACCCGTTGCGATTGGGTACTACAATCTTTATTGCTTCCAATTACCATGGAATCCATTCGCAACCGATCACAACAAATTTCACATGCACTGATTGGTTGAGGTCAGTCTTCATAGACCTAGCCACCGGAGGCCTAGTACCATTTGACATTCTGTTCAAATACGGTTTTTTTTTGTGTCTGATTTGGTCTGAATGCATTTGTTGGTTGTGATCGGAAGTAATCAGTTTTGGATTACCACTGAATACAAAATATCAGTCTACCAAAGTCCCAGCAGGACATTGCCAGAGTTTGCTGAATAATATGATGTAATATGTGTTTCACAATTTAGGATTGGTTTTTTTTTCATGCTGGGTATATTACTTAACTTAATGACACAATTTTCTTTTGACACTTTTGGGGATCCATGTCTTTATCAGTCTGCTAAGTCTCTGCAAGGCCTGCCAGTGAAACCAGAATCTCTAGATCTTGATGTATACGGACATATACCGTAGCCTTTTTTTTTTCATTATCTTACAGTATGCACCTTCTAATGCCATCTATTAAGCATCTTCTTGGTGCCATTTTATAATGTATGCTTCAATCCCTCATTTTATATCCAGCTCACCTTTCTAATATCTTTTAGGGTTTCAATTCTCCTGCGTGTCTCCGCAGGAAACTCCCTAAAATCGAGTTGTACAAGTGTTTTGTGTCCTAAGTATGATGTGAGAGACAATGAGATTGATAAAGTGTATTTATTCAAAAGTTGAAAGTGATATGGAGATGTGGGTGTCTTTAGTTCTTGAATAATATTAAATTTATATGTTATGATTCAGGGCTATTAATAATGCATATATACCTAATTTCAATGATTTTGTTTATATTTTTTTTCCTTTATTAGATATATATTAATAATTATATGTTATGTTTGAAATTTACATTCAGCATTAGCATCTAGACCAGATTTTGAGGTTTAGTAGTACCACACATTTTAGATTTGAGAAATAAGTAGGTTCAAATTAAGACCGTAGATCTAAAGCAAGACATTAATTTCAAAATTCAGGTCTCGGTATACCCATGAGAAAAAAGCCTATGGTCCCATATGCATAGTAAATCTGTTTTAAATTTTTTTTATTATTTATTATATAATATTTTGATGTGAATACAGTTCACATTATAATTCTATATATTGGAAATGATGATAATGAGCTCCATAAATTAATCATACAGATCATGTACTTTGAACACTGCCCTCTATTGATAAACATGTATATATGAACTAAATAGGATTGCAGCCCGTTAAGTTCACTAAAAATTTAATAGCAGTTCTATCATTTGATGCAGTGGTGGACGTTTGAGGATGGTTGGCGTACTGATGAGTTCAATTGTGAGAAGAAAATGAGGAAGTGAGCAATCATCTTTGCCGTCCTGTTGCTTAGCAACGAAAAAATGTCATTATCATACACTAATTGTAATATGCGAGATTGCTTTTGATGATGGACTTGCTGTGAAATGTTTTGATGTGACCAGGTTAATGTTGGGAAATCTCGTAATTGAAAAGGTCTTCGGAATATGGGAATGGTGATAATGATGGGGTTGTGGGAGGGGAAATTAAAACGATGTATACAAAAATGATTGGAAGATTGTAATAATGTTGGTGTACAGTAATCTCCATAAGATATAGCTTTTAATGATGAAGATATAATTATCCATCTTCATTAGCAATTACTACCATCATAATTTGCATCATTATAATCATCATCATTTTTTTCCTCCCTTTTTGTTACTTTTTTTTATTCGGTATAATATTTTTATTCTGTGTATATTCTGAACTTTGTTAAGAAATTGGACCATTTTCAAAAGCTCTTACTGAAAATACTATCCAGTCAAAAGAATGAATAAATAAATCAATCAATCAATCGATCAATCAATCAATCAATCAATAAGGTAGAAGTTTGTACTACAACTTAATACACTGTCAATCTATTCATCAATTGTACACAACATTTACACATTTTATTTTCATTTAATTATATGTTTTTTAAATATTTTGTAGAAGAGGGTGAGATTCGTATGGAATGCCAGCCTGTCCGTCAAACCATGGATGATCCAAATGTGCAAACCATGAATGATCCAGGAGTGAAGAAATTGAATTGGAAAGAAAAGAGAAAACTGAGAAGGAAAGAAATTAAATTAAGTAAGAAAAACAAGAAGGTTGAGCATTCAAATAAACGAAGGAACTTGCTCGAAATGGTAAGTCACCTTTTTTCTTTTTAATATAATTGTGTTGTCTAAGGTCCGGGATTGCAAAGCAGACTGTGCCTTGCAAGAGAGGGCATCTACAGGTACAGTACTGTATGATTACCATGACTATCTGCCACAGTCAGGTGTACTCCAAAGCAAAGGCATGAGGGGTGATGAGTGAGGGGGTTGTTATCCTCTTATTTTATGGTCATTGGTTCCATGGGCATAGTCTGGGAGATGCAGGGATGCCAACTCAAAGCCCCATGAAAGCAATTAATTAGTTTCACTTAGTGCAAGTGGATTAAAATATTAAAAATGACCAATTAAGCTTTCATTGGAATAAGCAAACCCCCCTCCCCCCTCCCAAGGCTCAAACCAGCCTACAGCTCTGGTCATGTCAACTATCATTAGACTATCATTGTCATTTTAAAATATTTCATTTTTATTCAGTGATGATAAAACATTTATCAAATTCAGATTCAGATAATTTTATTTTCATAACAAAGCCTTTTATTTTTATAATGTAATTCGTTTACTTTCTGTGTAAAATGTGACCACAAAATATCTGGATTAACAAAATACTAAATTTATTTGAATAAAAGGCCCCACCCCCTTGAATAAACACCCCTTCTAGAGCCTCATTAAAAGCAGCATTATTCTCAACATAGTCTATTAATATTCTATTCCAGTGGAATTACATTTTTTGTTTATGATCATGCAATAACACATTTGATGGTAATTATGTGTTGTAGTATGTATTTATAGAGAAGTTAAGGAGCATTTGTGCAATTATAATGCCTATTTTACACCAAAATAAATAAACGACTCCCTCACATAAACGCATCGCTCAAATAAATGCCTCCTTCGAGCTCCCCATCCCCCAAAAAGAAAAACCTCCAGTACTACTCCAGTAGAATTGCATTTTTTGTTTATGATCATGCAATAACACATTGATGGTAAGTATGTGTTGTAGTATGTATTTATAGTGAAGTTAAGCGGCATTTGTTTGATTATAATACCTATCCATTTTACACCAAAAAAAATAAACGCCTTACATAAACGCCTCTCTCAAATAAATGCCTCCCTTGAGCCCCCCCCCCTTCCAAAAAATACCCTTCTCAGTAAAAGGTATATTTTTAGTGAGGTCAAGCTAAGATCTCCAAAGCTTGCCTTTCAGAGCTGCTTTCTACAAAATGGAATTGATGTTTATGTACCATGCACTATTAGTATATATTACTTTTTTTATATACCACAGTGATGATAATATTTCTTGCATTGTGTTCTCAATATAAAACATAATAAAAGTCAGTTCTCATTACGATGCTTCTGAACAGTTATCTTATTGGCGTCATGTGACCACGTAGCCTCGTATCACACGATGACATCGACTCCTTCATTGTGTTCTTGATCCAAATATATGCAACGAGCCAAACTGATTTTACACCTGTTTTAATTTCCTGTCTCCTTGGATTTTCTATGGGTCTATTTAATTATTAATTTTCATCTCTGTTGGTTTTTGAGACTACACATAAATAATTTTAATATAGTTGGTTTCATTATAGTTCGTTATCTATTTAATTAAATGTATAATATAGTCACTAGTGGGTGGGTAAGAACTTGCCAGATTAATGTCGATTATTTTTCATATTCTGTTGTATTCTAGATTAGTTTTAGTAAGCACAAATGCCACGTACAGTACTGTAAATTATGCAGTGTATAGGTGCCGGATTTTTATTTTAGTCATTAAAAAGCTATAATATTAGTATGCATGTGATAATATTATATAGTATACAATATTATATTGATATTTTCAGTGTATTTTATTCAGTGTTTTTTTTTTATATTATGAAAACACAAGTAAGATAGAGCTATTTAAACAGTTAATGACACAAATGAATATGTTCACTAATACACAGTCAGTGAGCAGAAATGACTTTATAGTTGTTACAAATTATCAACAAACTCTGCATTGACTACAGCTCTTCTTAATAGTGTTTCTGTTTCAAGACATACAATTGATGATCAATAATATTGGTTAGAACAACCGTAAACTACTCTAAATCACTTGGAAATTGAACTTTGAAACATTTTCAGAATGTTTGCTAATGCAGCCAGAGACTCATCAATCTGCGTATGCGAGTGGGTACTGTACTACAATTCTAGGCTAGCTCTAGCCTCACAGAGTGGTGGTGCCAGCTGGAACTATCCCCCTGTTGGACAGGCCTGGACCCCCGTTGTAAAATGCCAAGACAAGGTCTTCACCAAAATTAATAATTTGCCTATCCAAATAATGTTATTTTGATTCGTAATCCCTAGTATTGTGATCTAAAAGCACAATTTTGGGCAAGTCATAAAAAGTGGCCGTGAACGGTATACTAGGGATTTTTATTCCATGACCCTGAGGCTCTAGTCAGCTGGTTCAGACTCCACCCCTGTCAGACATTTCAGACCCTTTGTCGCGAAAATTTCTGGAGCCACCGCTGGTCTCACGAAGGTAGGTAGGTAAATTCCAGAGCCAACAGTAAACAAAGAACGCTAGAGAATGATTACAAAGAATGATATTGGTAGTTTGTGCGGTATATTTAAAATATAGCGGTGAACCGGTGACTGAAATGAGATCGTGGTTCAGAATATTGTATTGGCTGAGGGGCGGCCAATGGCAAGATGGATGGCTGAGAGGTTAGTGCAGGGGCACCGCAACCTACAGCCAAAATATCGGCACTGGTTCGAACGGCACGCTCTCCTATGGTTCTGGTGGTGGAACAAGCCCAGTAAGCCCAGTGTACACAATGTGGCTTTTGTGCACTTAAAAGGACCCAGTACATCTTTTGAGACAAGTAGGGGGCTACGCCAGTGTACTTGACCATACAGCCATTGTTGTGGACAGATAAAGTAGCTGGTACCAGTTTACCTGGTAGCTCAGATATGAGGAGACCACAGTGCTTCGAGACTCCGGTATAAAGTGTTATATAAATCGAACTACATTACATTATATTAAATACAAAATGATTTGCAAAGATGAAATGTAATCATTGTGTGTTGCAAACAGTGATGAAGTAAAAACCATAGCAACCAACAGATTAGAAGAGAACAGTGGCGTAACAACAATGCATGGAGCCCTGGCCCTAGGGAAAGACAAATTAGGGGATTTTACATGTCAAGAAAGTACAGTATTCTTTCTCAAAAAGACATCTTTTAATAGTCAAAAAAGAATTAATGCAAAAAAACTACAATTGAATCTCACTCTAGAAAATCACATAGTATAGGCTCCGGGGAAAATTTTTTTTTTATATGTTGTCAACTGATTTTCCTATGACACAAAAGGGTGTTTAAAAAAAATTAGGGAATGGTTGATGACTTTAATTTTATAATACAGAATTTTGAGTATTCAATTTGAATATTCAAAATCTGGATTTAAGCGTCATTCATCAAGAGATGCTGACATTACATTCATCTCAGAGGTCAGTAGGCAGTGAGCTCCATATACTGATACTTCTCGTTAGGCCATCCAATTTGCTATACTGATATTCTTCACATAATATCACTTGAATGTTATTATTTATCTCTTCTTTTTTTTTGGATGATTGATGGATAGTATTTATCAGCAATTGATATCTTGGTGAATCTTGATTTTCAGTGCAGAAGATAAATGTTGTCATATTTCTTTTATAGTGCACTGTCTGTCAGAAGCTAAAGAATTGAAAAATTCAATTTCATGTTTGGATTGCTTAATTTAAGTAAGTTATTAACTTAAAATTTATTTGAATGTACAGACCTCGTCTTCAGTACAGTTAAATAATACCTTTGCTGTACTTTTTTGCATAGACTCTTAAATTGGCTGGTATGGTAATCAATTTAAGGAATTTTGTAAAAAAAATAACATCTGTAAATATGAAGCAAAACTGTTAATTCACAGACCCTTCGTAAATAGCGTCTGTGGTTATCAAATACTTCTGGTTGATGGTATCACAGATTGATAGTCATTGATTTTAATCTGACTGTCTGACCGTGGTGGCTCCAGCGGTTGGGCCGACCAACAGGGAACAAAATAAAATTGTTTTCTAAGTGAAATGTATGCCCACTCTTCCACACCACATAATACATTCACATACAACAATGTACTTTACAATATACAAGGTTTATTGATTGAAAGTTATTTCAGTTATTTTTAGTTGGAGTTTAAAACCTTTTATTTTCAAATGAATAGGCAATTTGCAGGAGTATTCCTGGATGTGCCGCATCATATTACACATCGACCAATCACAATCGTTACCACAACATTCTGCCAGATTTGAACCCTGACCTTAAAGGTTAAGGGCTTGAACCGCTAAGTAGAGTATAGCAAATTGTTGTATGCTAAGCAAAAAAAAAAAAAAATTAAAATAGAGCTAGCATCTTTCTATATAAAATACTTCAATCACATGTCTGGCACAACACTAAAGTTGTGTCCACTACAGTATATCAAATGTTATGTGACAAATTAATGTGATGGGCATGATGATATGTCATATTATACCTATATATGGGCATGTCACATTCATTTGTCGCATAAAATTTGGACAGAGCTTTGTTTTTCCTGACCTCATGATTGTGGTATTTTATGCTAGCGCTATTTAATTTTTTTGTCATTTAAAATTGTATCGTGTGGACGAAAGTTTAAGCCACATAATTTCCGTCCAAGGCATAAGCCAGCTGTGAAGAAACCACCATTAAACATGTTGCATAGCAACTGACTAGCCAAGACATTGTAGCAATGCTCACTGTATTGAGTGTAATTATCATTATGTTTATAGCATTCCCTATAGCTTGTTTGTTTCTTCTGTTCATGAGGGATGTCTGGAAATCATGGCAGTGTAGACAAGGTAGTAACAAAGTCCAGGTGTTCTCACCTTTATTATTGGGTGTTTTTGATGTGACCAGATACTGTATCATTCGCCAGGATTGATTTTTCGGTAATTCCTCATGTCTTGAACATCAGGTATGGCCTGAAAAATCTTCTACAGTATATA